GACATCAGTACTATATAGCCTCATTGAGTACTATATAGCATCATTGATCCTTTGTACTCCACCTCCCATTTGTAGGCCAAGTAGGACTCGGTTATGAAGAAAGCATCCTCTGCTGGTGTCTTTCCCTAGTAATGTCCCAAGTTGAACAGTAGAAGACATAGCTTACCCAAGTAGAATTAGAGGACCTCAGTTATCCTCTCTATGCTCCTATTTATCCTAACCTTGTTGCTACCTCTTGTTAAGTTAGACCGTAGTTAGTCCCACATGTTTCCTAGTGGATACGATACTTGGAATACTTTCGGGTGAAAGCTACAGCGGTATCCGTGCGCTTACGGATCTTATTTGTGTGCGTTAATAAATACCAACATGAGGCAACCCTTATCTCTGGCGCACGAGATATGGAGGTTCATCTCGTTTCTCTGTGTGGGTACAATTGTACACCTTTGTAGAGTCTTGAAAGCCTGGAGTCCCTCAGAACGAAACTATTTGGTTGTTCTTTCTTTCTATACCCATGGTAGCATGAATAATGGATTATGAGCACCTTTATTATAATGATAACTACCTTTACTTCTATGTTGAGCATAGCATGTCATACTCTTAATGAACATCATAGCTTTCTGCACTTATACAAATGCCTGATAACTACCCTGTGCATCCACCAAATATTATATGTTTGAATTAAATCCTGCGAGTACGCAATGTACTCATGGTGCAGCCGTTAAGTTCTTTTGTAGGAACGCTGTAGATTGATGGAGGTTGAGTTTCCATCATGGCTGCCTAGTAGCATTAGGGAAGGACGACCCCGAGTATGCTACATGTTAACTCCGTAGTCTTGTTCGAGCGACTTTGAGTGATTACTTTAGAATGGATTCAAGATCTTGTCCATTGGTTGGACTGGATCACATAATTTATGTAAACTCTATCTTGTAAGCTTTTCTGTATAAGTTGTTTGAGCATTATCTATTAGACTGTGTCGGTTTGGTATGTGAACTATTGTGTGCCACTCAACCTGATCCTAAAAGAGGAGTTGCCTAGTGCGCTCCTGGAGGCCGTGCGATGTTGTTTTGCTTAAATTGAGCACGTCAAGTGGATGACACTTGATTTAGGTGAAGTATCACGACGGGCACCCCACAAATGCGGTATCGGAGCAATGGTTGGCTTGCATGCACAATCCACCTACTAAACCCTCACCGACTAATGTGTAGTGTTCAAGGAATTTGAGTAAAACTTGGAATTCTACCAACCTAGGGTTGAACACCTACGTTAATTAGAATGTTAATCATCCAAGCATTTTCGAAAACAAAAGGAGTTTGGAAAGTTTTGTGAACATCAGCCCTGGGCAGGAATAGTAGGATACCCCAAGTGAGAAGTGGTCTACCATAGTCGCCTTACGCGTAGTATGTCTCGGCGGTAAAATAGCTTGAGAAAATGTTAGCGATCCCTCTCTCTTATCCTTGGAGGCCTATCTCGTTTGTGCTCTCCAATTTCTCTAGAAGTCTAAGAATAGCCTATTATCCCTTATCATGCCCTCAGAGGAAGTTTGCCCGAATTTCCCTAGAACCCCAATTTTATCATGTGCCACTCAACCTGATCCTGAAGAGGAGTTGCTTAGTGCGCTCCTAGGGACCGCGCGATGTTGTTTTGCTTAAATTGAGCACGTCAAGTGGATGACACTCGATTTAAGTGATGTATCGCCATGGGCACCCCACAGGCGCACTAGGGGTGCAGCCGGCTGCACGTCTAGCCACCGCCCTTGGTGAGTGGGCTTCTGGCTAGGCCTGGATGGCTCCCATGCCGGTGGTTGGCCCAGATTCGTCGGTTGTTTTTGGGCTTTTGGTGATTCTTTGGCTTGAATGTGCTTTGCGCTTTCTCTTATTGCGTATTTTGTCATGTATTTCATGTTTGTGACCTGCAAAACATATACACACCAAAACTTGTGGAATATGTTAGTTAAAAGCCCGAATACTAAGCTTTGGTTCTCATATTTGTTTATTTTGTTTTAAATGTTGGCGGTAGAAATGTGAGTTAAGCATCGCCAACACCCTACAAGTCTTATTTTTTTCCATATCACCTTTTATTGAATATCTTAGGCTCCTAAATAATCTCAAATAAAAACAAATTTCAACTAAATATTTTTTAGATCTTGTCGAGCACTATAATTTTTGTATAGAGCATGCCTTCATATGAGGTCAATTGAAAAAAATAAAAATAAATAAATTTAGTAATTATATAAATTAAAAACAACCAAGTCAAGTGCATAATGGATGAGAGAGAGCAGCTCTTGGTGAAGGAGGATGAGATCAAACATAGATGGCAAGAGTATTTTGATAAATTATTCAATGGTGATAACGAGAACACCACCGTTCAGCTGGACGACTCGTTTGATGACACTAACAGGCACTTTGTGCGGAGGATTCAAGAATCAGAGGTCAGAGAAGACTTGAAAAGGATGAAAGGGGGCAAAGCGATGGGCCCTAATGGTATCCCAATCAAGGTGTGGAGATGTCTTGGGGATATAGCTATAGTATGGCTAACCAAGATGTTCAACAATATATTTCGATCGAACAAGATGCCTGAGGAGTGGAGAAAAAACATATTGGTACCAATCTATAAGAACAAGGGAGATATCCAAAGTTGTACTAATTATCAGGGAATTAAGTTGATGAGCCACACTATGAAGTTATGGGAGAGAGTCATCGAGCAGCGCCTGCGAGGAACGACGTTGATATCAACAAACCAATTTGGTTTCATGCCCGGAAGGTCAACCACAGAAGCAAATTTCTTAATAAAACAAGTTATGGAGCGGTTTTGAGAGCAGAAGAAGGACTTCCACATAGTTTTCATTGACTTGGAGAAGGCTTATGACAAGATACCAATAAATGTTATATGGTGGGCTTTGGACAAACGTAAAGTCTCATCAAAGTACGTGACCCTCATCAAGGACATGTACAACAATGTTATGACTGGTGTTCGAACAAATGATGGTAACACAGACTACTTCCCAATTAAAATTAGACTTTATCAAATGTCAGCCTTAAGCCCGTATCTCTTTGCCTTGGTAACAGATGAGGTTACCAAGAACATACAAGGGGATATCCCTTGGTGTATGTTGTTCGTTGATGATGTGGTTTTAGTGGACGAAAGCCAGGCGGGAGTAAATAGAAAACTAAAGTTACGGCGGCAGACCCTTGAGTCTAAAGGTTTTAGATTGAGCAGAACTAAAACTGAATACATGAGATGCGACTTTGGCAGAGCTGCATAGGAGGGAGATGTGAGTTTGGAAGGTTAAGTAGTGCCTAAGAATGATACCTTTCGGTATCTGGGATCGATGCTATAGAGGGATAGAGATATTGATGCGGACGTTAGCCATAGAATCAAAGCAGGGTGGATCAAGTGGCGATAAGCTTCTGACATTCTCTGTGACAAGAGGGTACCATAAAAGCTAAAAGGCAAGTTTTATAGAACGACGATTAGACTGGCTATGTTGTATGGAGTAGAATATTGATCTACTAAGATTCGACATATTCAACAACTGAGTGTTGCATAAATACGTATGTTGCGATGGATTTGTGGGCACACAAGAATGGACTGAGTTCGAAACGATGATATACGTGATCGCCTAGAGGTAGCATCAATTAAAGAAAAACTTGTCCAACATCGGTTGACGTGGTTTGGCCATGTCAAAGGAGACCTCTAGAGGCACCAGTGCATTGTGAAGTCCTAAGCCAAGCTGATAATATGAGAAGAGGTAGAGGAAGACCGAAATTGACATGGGGAGAGCAATAAAAAGAGATTTGAAAGCTTCGGATATACCTAGAGATCTATGTTTGAATAGGAGTGTTTGGAAAGCAACTATTGAAGTGTCTGAACCGTGACTCGGGGCTCTTGATGGGTTTCAACTCTAGCCTACCCCAACTTGCTTGGGACTGATAGGCTATGTTGTTGTTGTATATAAATTAAAAACAATTATTTGGGCCTCTAAATAATCTAAAATAAAAAAACTATCAACTATAGAGTTATAGATTGCATTGAGATAAACGACTTTGGTATAGACCATGCCAAAATATAAGGGCATTTGAAAATTAAAAAAAATATTTCAAAATGTGAGAACCTAAAACAAATATTTGAGCTTCTAAATAATATCAGATAAAAAACTTGTGAACTGTTGTCAGCTACAAAGTTGTCGATCGCTTTGAGAGGCACAAGCTAGTCCATTATGGACCTTGTTGACATCTAGGGTAGTTTGAAGATTAAAAAAATAAATTTCAAAATTTGAGAACTTAAAATGAATATTTAGGTCTCTAAATGATCTCAAAAGATGCCAACTACGTTGCATTGATAGCTATAGCTTTAGTATAGACTATGTCAACATCTGAAATTATTTAATTTCAAAATTGGAGAACTTACAATAAATATATGAGCTTCTAAAATAACTCAAATAAAGAAGTTATTAACTACAAAAGTTATATATCACATTGAGCCCTATAGTTTTGATATAAAATTTATATTAATCTAAATTCATATGAAAAATTATGATTTTTCTAAATCAGAGAAAGGGAGAGGGACTGCCTTGCATTTAGGTTCCACGCTCACGTCAGCAAAGCCACCCAAAAAAAATCCTTTCGAAATAGTGGAGGACGTATTTTATCTGTTTTGACGGTTATAAGACGTGTATGTTGTCGTGTGGTATTGGAGTTCAATGAGGTTTTCCAAATCCAGTGACTAGTAGTTTAGGGATAAATTGGACTTTACTCAAAAGATTTGTGCTGATAGAAGTACATTCATATTAGTTCTAAGTCCATCGTCATAGTAATTGTATATGATCGTCAAACTACATCTCGAAAGTCAAATGACGACTGTATAATATATTGAAAATAAACACTAAAATAGTCAGGACATATAAGCAAACACGGCTATAATCTGCTCATCGCATACAACTGATATCAAGCTTCGATCGGATAGAATCATAGAACTGAAGTACTGTAACAACATTATTCGCCCTAGCCGATCTTGGGGACCTCTGCCACGTTACCGGCCTTGTTGAAGAAGACGCGGATGCGCTCGGTGTGGAAGTCATCGGTCACGGCGGAGCCGACAGGCACAAGGATCACCTCAACGTCCGGTCGGTCGTCCTGAATCTTGTGCTTGGCCACCTCAGCTGGCAGCCCCTCCACCTCCGGCCACGATGTCTTACTGTGATGGCTCATTTTCGCCGACTGGGTCCAATGGAGACCTCTCTAAATCCTCAACAGTTTAAGTACACGGCTAGCTGATGGATCTTGTTTGGTTTGTGCGTGGAGCTTGGTATATATATAGATCAGTTGAGGCCTTGAGGGGTTGATCGATGGGAGCTTAAACGGACCACAGGCATCTTTCACATTGGATTCCTTTGCGTCATTTGGTTTCAAATTTTTGGTGCAAGCAAACCCTTCGTGTCTCTTGCTTCTTTTCTTTTCTTTTTTCTGGGTTCTGCTCCTTGTGGGTGTCGGATGCGGCCGGCTTGGACCGAGTCTGTGTCCGTGGCCTGCGTGTTCTGTGGTAGTTTCATCTTCATGCATGGTCGGCATTGCAATTTCGGCGCCGATGCAAACGACGAATTTGTGCTGTCCAGTGTCCACAACCGCAACCGTGAATAGCAGCGGAAGATAATGACAATTGTTCTAAGATCGTCGTCAGAAAGGGAGATTGAAAGATGGGGTTTAAGCTTCATGTTTGAACAATTGTTTGAAAGTTAATGTATCTTGTTCATGGGAGCAGGGTCGTTCTGATCCTCTGTTCTGACGAGAGCACAGGATAGTCGCTCTCTACAAAATATGCTATTAAATGCTAAAACTTAGAAGAATGGGTATCGAAATATCCTCTGTCGTTGTATAAATAATGTGGAGCTCTAGTGCTCCTTCTTCTAAAATTATACGCATCTCAAAGCGTTCAATCTAATTAACTAAAGATTTTTCTTAATTTATTACCCATCTAGGTCTCGCATGGGCCTAGACCCTCTGTGCCCAAACCATGTCCAGCCCAAACCCAATCCATTTGTTAACATCCTCCAAATCCTGAAAAAAAATTCCGATGTTTGGATCCTGCACGGTGCTGATCGACGCTGAGATGACGCCGCTCCTCGGATGGGTCTGGCCGAGTCGCACGTTCTGGGTTATCGTCCTCCGTTACGGCGACGCTGAGCACAATCTTCTCATGCGCGAGCGGCGAGGACGACCATGCCTGCGGTGGTTCATCGCGTTTTATAGGGCTACACGCGATGCTGCGGCGATACACCGACCACGGATGCTGCAGCGGGCTCCAGACGGAACTGGTGTCTTCTTGCCGGACAAGAGCGCAACACGAACGAACACTCACGGGGGATCGAAAAGAGATGAGTTGCATTGGGCACGGGCTGGGTTGGACATGGATGGATTGATGCGGGCCCATGTGACAAATAATTAAGAAAGATATTTAATAAATTAGATGCGCTGCTTTAAGATCTGTGCAATTTTAAAAAGAGGAGTATTTGAGCCGTTCTCGATTAGTAAAATATGAAAACCGCTGCTTTCTAGGTACTACTCAGCATCTCCCAGAATTTTCAAAACCGACACTTAATCTTGATTTTTTAGCAAGATTAAAAAAATTGCTCTCAAAACAACTGCCTATCTCAACTCTCAATCTTTTCACACTTGAAATAATTGATCCAATCACACGGAATCGATGGAAGGGTCTCATTTACACAGGTCACATATCCGATCCCATGGACATCAACTCCTCATTTGCCACTAGTTTGGTGTCCTCCTCGCAAACTACATAGGTCACATTAAAGTATAAAATTTAATATGACTCAAAATATTTAAAGAATACAATAATTTCAGCTCATCCATTCTAACGGCAATGGGAAAAAAGTTTATTTTTAGCACAAGTATCTGATTCTAGAGCAAAAGGGTCATGTTCCTTAATTAGTTGCGGCACAGGAAAAAACATAAACATCAACACACAACTTGCCTAAGTCATAAGGAATAGCAGGCAAATTAACTTGTAACAAAGGTAAATCAATAAAAGTTTCTGCTAAATGTTACTTTACGGTCACATGATTGGTGGATAAATTTTGGCTCTTAATGTTGCTAGATAAACCGTATTGTGTTAGATTACTATTAGGCCATATTTGGTTCCGCGGTATCTCATCGCGCGACCACGATAACGCCAACGCGGCGTGGAAGCTGCGTTCGCGATTTCGGATCGCGCTGTTCATATTCCCACCTATCGCGTGGTGGGCGGCTGTCGAACGGGCGACCGACGCGAGGCGTTTGGTAGGATTCGCTCGCTTCTCTCGGTCGCGTATACGCGGATCCAAACAGGGCCATAGCAAGATTCCTGGCTTATCGCTCCTTATTAGTGCCATAGCCGTGAATGTGCTTGCTACTAGGTCTGTTACACTAGTATTAGCAGGATCCGTGCTGCTTATCCTGCTTGACTTGCGCCACAGCCGTGCATGTGCATGCTACTATTTTAGGCGAGTTCACATATGTTAGCAAGCTCCTTGTTTTGACCGGAAACTGTTTTGACCTTCGTGTGCTGCCATCTGCCTTTCCGCCTGGGATTGGAGGGGATCCACTGAAGCCTGCTCTGAATGGCCCACAAAACCAGAGAGGAGACCTAGAGAGAGAGCCAAGAAGAGGAGAGAGACAGGGAGGAGAAATGATCAGGCAAGCGTCCCTTTTCTCTTACTAGTGGGTCTGGCCTCCCCGGCATTCACAGGTGTTGGTGCGGTGCCGCGGAAAGGTGCGTCCGTGCAGTGCCACAAACGCACGGCCGAGTATCATAAAGTCTTTACCTTAGCTTTAACTCCGTCGTTATAGTAATATTAAAATCCATAACTCTAGGAGCATTAGCGTCCAGAGAGTCATCTGCGTTCGCCGTCCATCCAACGTATCTTCGACATGTGGCAACGCTGCAGTTGCTGCGCGTGGAGTCATGTTCGGTTGCAGAGAAAAGCCACCGCTGCTGCAGCTATAGCTTTGACCCTAAACCCTAAATCCTAAACTCGCGCGAGGAGTACGTATTGTCTTTGGGTCATTTTGGTGGGTTGACCTCTTTACGTGGGCCATGCCAGCTGCTGTCTGCTACCCGTGTTTTCAAAATTGCAGGATAATATAAATTATAGGGTGTGTTTGTTTCCTACCCAACTCCCTGCTCCCACCAAATCAATCACTAGTTGTTTGGTTGTCTGTAGTGTCTAAGCCTGGTTAGCCCCACTGTAACACCTCAGGTGTTAGCCTTGCATAACTTGACTTGCATAAAATGAGCATGATCATCAAGCATTCATATATAAGCATTTACACTTGAAACATTTGAGTGAAACATGAGCAACATTCTTATTATTTCATGTTCCCATGTGTATGTGCATATGATCATGAGTGTAAACATGTAGATGATGGTGTGACCTTGCAAATAGCTTAAACATGTTTAGAATATCATCATGAACAACTTTGGTATTTATGGCTAGGGCTAATTTGGTCATTATGTCATAGTTTAAGTATGTACCATCTTTTGAATGTAGCTTGTTTGACCAAGTTTGAACTAGGTGTTAGAGACCTTGCATGGAGGAGATCAGTAAAGCAAAGTTGTAGTATTTGACATAAGGAACAACTTTTATTTTTGGGTCATTAACTGATTCAGCTCCTAACATGTGTGAAATTGGATCACAAAATCAGAAAAATCAACATTTGCAGCACTTAGCAAATTTTTGCTAAGTCATGAACCCTGACTGACTGACAGCCGATATTTGGGGTGATTTTACTCCGTTTCTGTTGCGAATTAGAACGAGTTCTTTGAACAAGATTTGTAGCTGGTACTTCGGGCTTCAACTTTGGTTTAGGAAGTTTTGGCTAGAAGTCCACGGATTAGGAGTTTGATCGACGTGAAAACGCGCTGTCAGGCATCATCGCTGCGTGTCTGAACTAACTGAATCAGCCGATCGTTCAGTCGTCAGTGGCCGACACTGGCAGAACCCGCGCGCCGCGTGGTGGCCGCGACGGCCGCGCGTCACCAGCGCCCTGCCCACCGCGGCCAGGCCGGCCAGAGCGAGCCATTAACATCGCCAGCGACCGCCCGACCCCTCCCGCGCTCCATTTTGCATTTCCTCTGCTCCTCCTTCGCCGTCCGCAGCACCCGCGAACACAGCCGCCAAGCTCCAGCAACTCCGCCGTCGCCATAGCAAACGCCAGCTCGACCTCGTCGCTTCTCCTCCACTGCAACACCTCCACCAGAGCTCCCGTGACTCACCGCCTAGGCACGCGCTCGCTGACCGCACTTGGTAAGCAACAGCGCCGTGCGCTAGCTCGCTGGAGCATCCCCGCCGCGCCCGTCATCGTGGCTGGGGCACCATCCCTCCACCGTCGGGCGTGCAACCGTGTGCGTTAGGTTCGCCTGAGCCCATGGAAGCTCGTCCTTGCCTTTTAGTGCTTCGCCGTGGCCTCCACCGGCGTAGCATCGTTGTCCGGCTCCGCCGTGCCGCCATGAATGCCGCCACCGTGTTTAGCTCCAAAAATAGGCTCGGTCAAGTAGGTCAATAGGTCCAGGAGATAGTGGGGGTCATGTCGTGAAGACGTCACCGCCGGTGGACTCGCCGTCGACGAGCCGTGGCCGCGCGAGCTTGCTCAGCGCCGCCGGCTCTGTTTTGGTTTCACTGACAGGCGGGCCCTACTGACCAGCGGGTCCCACCGGTCAGCGACTCCATGTGTTAAAGCTAGTTCATTTTGAATGCAGATTTCATATGTTTTGTGAATTTTAGATCTTCAGTTTGGTAGCTTCAAAAATTGTGAAATAAATTTGTTAGTGTTCCTTTGGAAGTGTAGTATTTAGGAAAAATATGTTCTTAACTTTTGCAGTAGAAATATTTGGAGATTTAAATAGAAATTTGAAATGTGCTTTTGAATGCATACAAATTTGTTTATTTTATATCTAGAGTTCCTGTGCTCCAAAAATTATGAAATTTTTGTGGTAAGCTATTCTTGTCATGTATGAACTCTGGTAAAAATTTGAAGATCAGTGCATATGTAGATTTGTAGTTATAGATTTTTCTTTTATAATTAGGAGATCCTTGTGTGAATTTTTATAAATTATTTAGGAATCCAATATTCATGAAATTTGTTGGAGGTAATCCTAGTAGTATTTGGATGCTAAGAAAAATAGTAAATCTGTTGCTTGACACTTTTCAATAGGG